TCATTGTAATCTACTACTTTTTCCCACAACCTCAAAGTGTGTCCTGTGTTTGAAAACTGTTCACGACTTCTCTCAACTTTTCAAATCCCTACTTCTACTTCATGTGTTTATCACAAACCATGCTTAACTCTGAAAACTTTGTCATAATTCAAAACTATACTGCTAATAAAGGTTATACTTATGCCCTATTTAGCCTAATTCTTCGCCTCATTTCATTAGATTGGGTGGGAAAGTAATATTAGCTAACTGAGGAGGCCTCACATTTTTTCAAATAAAGGTTAGAAAGAGAGAAGTGCGCAGAACGAAAAAGTTGAAATATTCCTGCCCAACCTCGATATATTTGTGTAATCTGTTACATAACTTAGAGGAACTGAAAATATGCATTCTGCAGAAATGTTGTCACGCCATTTAAATGATAGAACCTTGTCTCTACTTGATCGAAACCTTCAACGGGTGCCACTCCTCCATGGTCTCGTTGATAGGCATAGTTTCTGTAACTGGATCTGTCGCTCGTAACTGCGGTGTCGCGAAGATGTGCAGCCTTTCTGAGGTGTTGTTTTTCAAGTGTGTCTTAGTGCGAAGTTATGTGCAATTAGCGGAGGAAAGAGAATGTAAATAAAATAAGTTGTTGCTTACAGTTAGAAAATAATTACATTACAGAGATGGCGACATGTCAGAGAGTACTCACGCTGCTTCATCTTCAGCCATCCTTGCACGCTCCCTTGATCCGTAAAAGCCAGATTCAGCCTCGATAGATCTGGCCCTCTCCCTGGTCCCGTAAAAACCTTCCGCTTCTGAAGACCTAGCTCTTTCTCTCGTTCCATAATACCCTGACTCTGCCTCTGACAATCTTCTCCTTTCCCTGGTGCCATAATAGCCTCCTCTGTCTGGCTCTTCCATTGGACTAACGCTAAAAAGAAATTCGTCGTTACTAACACAAATCACTCGTTCAAACTCCTGAATAAGACCGTTCCTTTTACTTACACTACTCGTCGTTCTTCCCTGGCATACATTTCTGTAGTTGATGTTATGGGCTCGCGATCTTCAATGGCTACCTTGGAAAATGTGAAATATCAGAATATTATCAGCAAACTTTATATAACTTACTGCTGGTGTTATGCGATGGAATGTATCAGTTTCGAGAGAAGGACGGTGGACATTTTTGCAGCCAACGGCAGTGTCCTTTAAGATTGCTGTTTCTGTACCTACA